AATCTAGATCTCTGTGGCTATTCTGCATCTACCAATTTGTACTGTTTAACCCCTTCACCTTTTTCACACAGCTCCTCAACCACCTCGCCCTCCCAACACACAATTGTCAGTCGGTTCTCTGTATCTATCAGTCTGTTTCTATTTTGTTTGTTTATTTTGTTCTTTAGACTCTACTATTGTGAAATAAAAAATGGGTCTTTGCAGATGAGAGTAAGTTAAGGGTTCTGAGTTGATTATCCTGGGTTATGAGCCTGGGCACTAAATGCAAGCACATGTATCCTTATAAGAGAAAGGCAGAGGGAGATCTGAACACACAGAGAAGTGATGTGAAATGTAAAGATGGAGCAGAAAGAGTCTGGGGATACTGCCTTGAAGACTGGAGTGACAAAGTCACAAGCCAAGGAGTGTTGGCCCCCACCTTAAGCTGGAAGAAGCAAGGAGTGGATTCTTCCCTAGAATCTCCAGAGGAACTGCAGCCCTGACAACACCTTGATCCTGGTCCAGTGATAGTTTTCAAATTTCTGCCTCCAGAACTGTGAAAAAATAGATTTATGTTGTTTTAAGCCTGTAAGTGTGCTGTAATGAGAAACTAATTCAGGAGTGACTGCTAATGCATATGGAATTTCATTTTGCAGTGGTGAAAATGTGAATTTGGATTGTGGTTAATGGCCACACAACTCAGTGACTATACTGAATTGTACACTTTAAAGTGAGTCAATTTTATATTATGCAAATTATATCTCAGTAAGGCTGTTAAATAAATCTTTGTGACCTTGGGTAAAGCAAAGATTTCTTAGATATGACGTGAAAAGTATGAGTCAAGCCTGGCCTGTATGGCTCAGTGGTTGAGCATCGACCTATGATCCAGGAAATCAGGGTTTGATTCCCAGTCAGTGCAGATGCCCAGGCTGTGGGCTCGATCCCCAGGAGAGGGTGTGCAGGATGCAGCCTATCAACGACTCTCTCATCATTGATGTTTCTATTTCTCTCTCCCTTCCTCTCTCTGAAATCAAGAAAGATATATTAAAAAAAAGAAAAGTATGAGTCAAAAAATGGTATATTGGACTCCATCAAAATGAAAAACTTTTGTTCCTGAAATATACTAATAAGAAAATAAAAGGCAAAACAACAGATTGGGGGAAATATTTGCAAAAAACCATATTTAATTAAATAATACATCAGAATATATAAAGAGCACTCAAACTTCAATAGTAAGAAAACAAAAATGAAGAAAGAATTTGAACACTATATCTTAAAGGAAATATACTGATGATAAATAAGCACAATAAAAGATGCCCAATATTATTAGAGAAATGCAAAATAAAACTACATTGAGTACTTCTATACATTTATTAGAATGGGGGGGGGGGGA